AAATATAACAAGGCATAATTCACATTCAAAGATATACAGCTTTACATAAAACTGAGCAGAAAATTGAGTTATACAACATTGTAACAAAGAAATTATGAAAAAGAAAACAAACAATACCAAAACAAGCTTAATAGTTATATAAAACAGACAAAAAAATTATCACAAGAGGACTTTTAGTTATTTGGTTATATCGTCAATGTATTGTTGCAATAATTGGGCTTGATTGTTGTTACAGTGTGTCAAAACTTCCTTAAATAAAACTACTTCCTGTAGAAAAATGTTAAATAATGGGGTGATTTTTAAAAACTGGCGTTTGTGTATAAATATTTTTTAGCTAAAAGGATTAAATTGTTATTACTGTAAATTGCTTCTTTATCTCCTGTTAGAAGACCCATTTTGATTTTATCAAAACTCAGAGGTAGAATAGATTTCTTATCCATGACCCAGTCTTGAAAGTTTTTCCAAAAAACGTTTACAACATTACAATGAAAAAAGAGGTGTTCTGCAGTCTTAATACAGTATTTCTAATTAAGAAAAAAAATTACAAAATGATTCTGTTGTGGCCATTTTTCGGCTACCTTATTTATTTATTTATTTATTTATTTATTGTAATTTTGTTTTTGTTTTTTCGGCCACGTTACACTCAAGATCCGTGCGTCTTACGTCATCGCGCTTTTTACGGCTCCGCGTTACGTCACCGCGTATATTTTCCAAACAATGCTCAGGAAAAAGCCACGTTGACGATCGAGAGCGAAGAGTAGAAGGTCAGTTTGGGGCAAAACAAAGCTGGAATTAGTTTTCCGGACGGCTCGGTTCGTGTTGGCAGCAGATTGTGGGTCGGAGCCGGCGGCATGTCGTCCCCACCGAAGGAGAAAACTGAAACCAAAGGCGGACATCTCCCAGCAGGTAAAACCCCCTTCGGTTGTTGTTGTTGTTGTGCTGCCTTTTTTTTAATCATTGATTTTATGGACCCGGAGGCCTAATGTTTTTGTTCTTCGAGGATAACATGATGACCACTAATTACCATGCATTCCTTTAAGTATCGCATTACAGCCAAAGTGCGCGTGACGTTTGATCTGCTGTATTTCCTTGTTTTGCACATTTCCCTTACTTCCTGATTTCTGGGATCTTGCAAGATCATTCACACTGTAACGCCTGATGACTGCACGGTCGTGTATGTATAAAGGCTTTAGTCGAAGCGTTGGAATAAATGAATTCAGGATATCGTTGACTAGAAAAGCCCAGGCTGGAGAAACCGTGAAAAAAAAAAAAAAGGCGTACGTGGCCAGGAGAGCAGCATGGCAGTGGGCCACAGCAGCTGCAGGCACGACTCTTAGCACAGAGAGATAAAACGTGGCCCTCGCACTCATCCAGGTCAGTCATTAACTAACATGCAGGTATGATGATAATCACGTGGACGTCTGAGATGTTTACATGATTCCTCTCAAACCTGATGACCAAACAGCTGTGCTGCAGCTGCAAAGACTCTCTAATCAGAACCTTAATTAGTCTTTATGTCGACAACAAAAACAACATGCAAGATCCAAATCATAGAGTTAAACCCTCTATATCTAGTTTACAATTAAAATGCAGTCCACCTAATTTCTGATTTAGCAGAGATCCAGATTGTTTATGTTTGAGTTCTCTTTAACAGCTGTGCTAAATTCTCTGTCAGCATGGTTTTTTAGGCCTCTGCCTCTCCATGGTCTGGAAGCTACAAATTAGACCTAGGTTTTACTGTAAATGAAAATTACAACCTAGGTTTTACTGTAAATGCTAGAAGAGTTGTGCCAACCAAAATGAATTACCATAAATTGTAGAAAATCTGCATCGCTCAAATTAAAATTCTTTGGTAAGACTAGAGAGATTTTGCACCAAAATGAATTACCATAAATTATAGAAAAGCTGTTAACGCCTAAAACGAAGTACCACAAATGAAGTATAAATCAAAATCTGCATTGCGTTTTTGCATAAAATAAATTACGGTAAATGCTAGAAAAGCTGTGCAACCTAAAGGCTGCTGTACTTTAAATAATTATTTTAAATTTTGGACCTCACTACATAAAATTAATTCACAAATGCTAATATATATAAATAAAAAAACTATAAAAAATACAAATGCTGCTCTGTCCAAAATGGATTACCATATTTACACATTTTCTTCAGATACAGTCATAAGTTTTATTATTATGGTGTCATTGTAACTTAGACTTTTTGCAATCTCTTAAAGATATTGATATGGTAATCACTGCAAATGTAATGCTTGTGTGTGTTGCAGTAAAGGCAGGAGGTATGAGGATAGTGCAGAAACACCAAGCACCACCTGCTCCTGAACCGCTGCAGAAAGAGGAGGAGGAAGAGTACGTCAGCACCAGGTAACATACTGGGAGTGAACTAAAGTGCACGTTTTTAAAACTGTATTTGAATGTTTAAAATTTATTTTGAGCAAACTAAACTTAAATCACCGTAAGCTTAAGGCAGGTATAATGAATGCAGTGTGTTTCTTGGGTGTTARAACTTATCGATTCCTCACTAAGAGGGGATGTTAGAATACATGGGAAAGGCTTCCTTTTTGTTCATGCAGCACACAACCTCCGTCTGGGGAACAAAGAGCAGAAATAACACAGTGCATGTGGAAACGGCTCATTCAGCTCTGCCTCTAACTGGCAAAAGAGAAGCTGAAACATGTTGGACCTTTAATTAGGCAGTCGTCGTAGTTTCTCCAAAAATCACCTGATGTGTTGCTTGGCACTGGGTAACAAATGTCACAAACAGGCGGGGGATTAAATGTCTCCAAATCATATCTATGCAAATAGATGAATTAAAGAGTCCATAATGTGAAGTTGACAGATTACATTAAAAGAAAACAAATGCCAAAAATAAAAAAAATGGCATACACCCTCTAAAACCATCTGAATTAGCTGGGAATSTCTGTTGGGTACTTTTCTAAACTTGGTGTCGTCAACATGTGGTGATACCCATGCCTGTAATGTGTAATAAACAGCGTAGTAGTTGACAACTGGTGGTTCTGGTGGTGACATCAAACCACTAGCCTTTCTACTGAATAAAAGGAAAATAGAACGAGCAAACAGGAAGGTCACAGTGTGAGGATTATGAAAACAAAAAAAAAAAACAGGTCTTTCTTCAGCTAGCTTTAAGCTAGCCTGGGCATAGACGTTTGCCTCTTTCCCCATGCTTCGTGCTCTATGACTGAGTCACGATTAGTAAAGTACTATATAAATACTTAACAAAAATGATTAGACTGTCCCTCAAAGTCCAACCAGGACTTCAACTTTCTTTTTTGCAAACTTTCCAGTATTGATACGCACCAATATGGGCATCAGGAAACAGGGTTTCTGGTCTGATTTTATTATCCTTATTCTGTCGATTCTGTGGTAGGTAAAAAGTTTTACTGTTGAGACAAACAGCTTTCAATTTATAATGATGTTCTCTTATTGTATTTCTAATCCAATGACTAGTGGCAGCCTTGTTGAATGTTCCTCCCTGGTCAAAGGGGTGAGATGGGGGTGAAAGCATGCATGCAGTCATGTGGGGTGCGTGGCCTCTATATGGAGACATAAATGACAGGAAATGCATCCAAAACTGTCTAAATAAACACAAAACAAAAAGAGATGAGGTGGATGCAGGGACTACCTTTTTAACATGGCTGTAAAGTTCTAAGTTCCACAAGGACAAGAACATCTCAGTTATCTTTGAGTCTGGGTAAAGTGTTGGTGGGTTAATCAAATTCTGTGTTCTTTTTATTAAACAGTAGTACCCCCAGCTTGATTGTGAGTCTGTTCAACACACAAATGTGATTTGTAAGTTGGTAATCAAACACGCACCCTGCTAATTGCTACCAAGTCATTTAGCAGCTTTCATTTTCTATAAGCCTTCCGCTGTACGCATTCTTTTTTTTTTTTTTTTGCCGTGAACTTTTTTTGTGTAGCACAGCCTGCTAATTCAGAAAATAACATGATTACTGCATAATTACTGCATTAACTGGAACAGCCCATTCAGCAGCCGCCATTGTTCTCCATAAACAACTTTGGGTTTGCATGTTTTTCTATTACACTGACTATTTTCAAGCGACAATTAGTGTTTGGCTTCCACGTCGGCGTGTTCGGCTTATTGTTACAGGGATGTAGTGTATGTAGCTTTTAACGTTCAGGATATTTGTGTGTCTTTGCTCCCTCGTTATTCATGAAGACACATCAGCGTTGTGTTTGTAGGTACAGGTGCTGTATTCACACAGTGTGTTTGTGCATGTGTGTGTGCATGTGTACTTGTATTTGTTACCTTTTTTAGGACTCTTTCTGGTACACACCTACTGTAATTTGTCAAAACCAATAGTCCTTATGGGGAACAAAGACTGGTCCTAATATAGTCGAACTCCATTTTTGGGTTGGGGGTCAAGTTTAGGACTAAGATGGGAGTTAAGTTTAGATTAGGGGGTGGGGTTTAGGGTAAGGATAGAAATGAATGGAAGTCAATGGACAGTCCTAATAAGAATATAAACAAGCACCACAGCTGTGAGCAGGATTGAAGAACATTACCAACTGTCAGGATATTTTCTGTGGCTGGACTTCAATATAACCAACTTTTTGATTATTCCCCGGAGAGTGTTTCATCTACTTGACGTGTTCTTTGAGTGGCTTCCTGTAATTTATWGAGAGAATATTAGCTAGCTTGTCAYTGCCAATAAATAACTACTTTTTGTTTCTCTTGGCTCTGACTCGAGAAGAGCTGTGAAAGCAAACAACACAGAAAAGTAAGAAGTGAGGTCAAGTAGATAACGAATGTACAAAACAAGTTGCAGATTGGTTTTATTACTTTTCAAGGACCCGCTGGTGAAAAAACATTATCAGAAGTGGCTGAGTCAGTGAACTGCTTTCTGTATCCTTCCATGTTTGATGTAGTCATATGGCACATGTTCAAAATAGAAGTCAGCTGGTAATTTAAGAYTTGTTTAAAAGCTTAATCTGCAAAAAGTTAAAGTGATCTCATGATTACGGATGGGTATCGTTAAGGTTTTATCAATAATACTACTCTTACCGGTACTGCTTATCGATCCAGTATTTTAACAGTTCTCATATCAATACTTTTCTATTGGAATAAAACTAGAGTTTCCCCMTAAGGAATTGGTRGTAATGGGGAATTAARAAAAAAAAGYAGCATTTTATTTTTGGAACGAGGCATCATGTTTAAACTAAAGTATCGATCGAGTAACTTTAGCATTGATGCTATCTGCGACGCTCGACGTTACCATCATATTTTTCTGTGGATTAGCAGTCACCAAGGACATGGAAAATTAAAAGAAAAAAGACGAAGCAACTGAACTTCTGTTCTGTATGTGAAGACGTGTTCTGAATAGGGCTGTACCGATTAGTTGAAATAATCGATGATGTCGATTATGTAAATTTGTCGATGCAGATTTTTTTTTTTTTTTTACAAAATGGTCACTCAACGCTTGACAATAGCGTCTACCTCAAGAGGTAGAGGAGCCAAATGACTGGCTCACTGCTGCCAACTAGCGGTCAGAGGCTGAACTACAACAAAAATGAACAGCTGGCAGGAAAGTTGACATTTTAAACCTTAATAAAAAATCGATACAGGGCTTTAGAATATCGATACAGTATCAGGAAATGAAATATCACGATATTTCAGTGTATCGATATTTTCTTACACCCCTAGTTAATTCTGGAGCTTATCGATCCGGTCAAATTTCATCACGTGGTGGAACCAGTACTGAAAAAATACCAGCTTTCGGCCGCATCCATACTCATTATTAACTAAAAAAGGGGTATTTTTTAGGGATGCACGATATATCGGTATTAATATCAGTATCGGCCGATATTGGTCATTTTTTTAGAATATCGGTATCAATCTGATATGTAAAACTGAGCTGATATTAACATCTGATATTGATATCACAATTTTTAGCTTTGTGTTTCTGTTTTGGGAGGGGAGGTGGTTGGTTGAGCGGCATCTGTTCGATCATGATGGTGATAGTGATGCTGCGTAGCCTGGAATAACTAAAGTAGAGCCATGTCAGAGGTCTGGTTGTTTATTTACAGTATCAAAAAAGACCAAAGTGTGTTTGTGCGTATATGTATAATTTGTGTAATATCGGTTATCGGCCATAACAGCAATAATTATATCGATATCGGCTGAAATTTTCATATCGGTGCATCCCTAGTATTTTTTAATATTTTGGCCTAAAAATGACTAAAACAATGAGTGTGTTCCTGAGACCAAATAGATCACTGGTTTGTGCTGGATTAAACAGCAGAGCAAAGACACTGGAGGCTGGAACTGTGGTGAAATGTTCAGTGAGCCTGAGGGCTCACGGTGGAAAAAGTTGCAAGGAAAGAGGGAGAGAGAGAGAACGGAGGGAGGCAGACAGGCAACAGGCATCAGTTTCCAGGGAAACCACCACCTCGCCCACGGCCACAAACTTCCTGCTCCGCCGAAGCAGGCAGAGATGGGTGGGGTGGCGAGAGCAGACAGCTGAAAGGAAAAACACCATTAAATAAAGTCAGGCTCATCTCACCCTATTGTCTTATTGGCTTACGTTTTCTTTTTATGCCTCCCCTCATTCCCGTTCTTTTATTTATTTTCTGTCCAACTACCTCTTYCTCTGTCACAACTCAGCTCTTCTCCCGGATGCACGGCTCTCTGTTGCCCCCTGCAGGCTCCGTTTGTGCTAAAAACGCTGCAGCCAAGCCAAGGTCTTCATCACCTAATGGCTGTTTTTACTTCAGCATCAAGATGAAACCGATTTTTTTTAAAGTGATGTTATGGACATATTTATTGTACGAATACTTCAGCGACGTGTCTTGAGCTTGTAGTTGTGCAGGTTTGTCATTCCACAATTGAAGAAGTCTTCAAGTAACGCTTAGATTTGTGTTTGATTGGCAACAACTTGTCACAATGCAGCATCTGGTCAGCCAATCAGGCGAGGGCGTTCTCAACACTCTGAATTAGTTTTCTCTCTTTCTGTGCATGATCTCATTTTTCACATCGTCTCTGTTTTGTTTAGTGTTTTCTGCACAACCTCTGCTTTTCCGCTTAATATTCAAGCTTTCTTTATATTTCCTACTAATTGAAAAGACTAGAATATTATTATTTGTGTGTTTATTTATTTATTTCTTTGGCACAGAAGTATTTATTCCCCTTGACTCAACATAGTGAGAACTTCATTTTTCAAAAGCCACACTCGCACCTTATCAAGCACACACTTGAATTAGGAACCCTTGAGGTTTTAATGCCGTATTTTAGTTAATTGCGTCACTAATAAAGAGCCTCTCAGCCTCCGACAAGAGCCTAGCCAGTACAAAATGTGCAAAAAAATAAAATTCAACAAATCCAAGCAATCATTTACTGGCAAGATGTAAATATTCTCATTAAGATAAGGAGCAGAAGGCTGCTTGGTGCCAAGATTCTGATTGCAAAAGATTGACTTTAGGCAGATGTGTGAAAATGTCGTAACGTACAGTAAGCAGAGTTCATTTATAATTAGCAGCGTCTAACAGATGCTTCGGAACGTACCGGAAATCTAGTTTTTTTGTCTCCCACAGCTTATTTATCCTGATAATAAATTAGGACGTATGTTTGACGTGTTTGGTCCTATAGTTTGACGTCTTTGGGGGGACTTTTGAAGGTGGCGAACTGTACTCCCGCTGAGGGGTGACGCTGCCGTAAAATTGGATGGCGCTCGTTTGTCACGCCAAGGTCGATACTCACTTCAGGTTCCACATTCCTCCTCCTCATCTTTTCCTCAGCCTCCATCCGTTTTGCCTCCATGTGTGAGTGAGCGCTCGCATCCCTCCTCTCCTTCGACCTATTTACTCTCCTCTAACGGTCGGTTATTATATACAGGAGGTGTTCGTTCGCTCTGCTCCTCCCCCAGTCCACTCCGCTGCCTCATGTTGACCTCGCKTTCCATTCTTTACTCTTCATCTGCACTTCTATCGCCCTCCACCTTAAACCTTTTTCTTCTTCATCATCATCTTTCTYTTTAATGCTCCTTTTTCTCTAATAGCTTTGGTTTTCCTCCGCCTCCCTCCTCTCCTTGTATGCTTTCCATCCAGAAGGTTGGGGGGGTGCACAAAGTTTGGCCAGAATAAATGGGAGCTATTTAAGCTGTTGGCAGGTGTGTGTGTGTGTGTGTGTGTGTGTGTGTGTGTGTGTGTGTGTGTGTGTGTGTGTGTGTGNGTGTGTGTGTGTGTGTGTGTGTGTGTGTGTGTGTGTGTGTGTGTGTGTGTGTGTGTGTGTGTGTGTGTGTGTGCACAAACAGATCCACACACTTGTTACTCTGCAGGAGCTCGGCTGCCATTGATCGGCGGCGATGTTGATATTCAGCACCACGCTACTGCCTTGATATGGCTGCAGCAGCTTATTGGTGTGTGTGTGTGTGTGTGTGTGTGTGTGTGTGTGTGTGTGTACTGCCAAAGTCAGTGCCACTCTGGGTGTTTTGACACCTTGGGATGACCATATTTTGACACTATGTCACCATTGGGTTTTCTCAACACAGACAGAGTGTTGCACTTGTTTTTAATCTTCTTGTAACCTTCACATTAGAAAAACACTTCTGTTTTTTTATGCATTCCTTTTTGACATTTTCTATTTTTCATTTTTAGCCCACCGAAGGTCCCTGTGATTGTTTCCGGAGTGGTCACAAAGGTAAGATACATGCTCCCAGTGACACAAGAACACACAGACCATTATTAGTCTTTATCTGTCATGTTGTACCCGGTCCTCTTTTTTTGGGAGTTCTCAAATGTTTTGGGTCTGGGGACCCCTTACAAAAGTGAAAAATTTCCAGGGACCCCCTCATAAACCTCATGCTGATTTAAAAAATAATTTAAATCCTTTAAACCACTAAATGCTATGAAAGTAATTATTATTTTTCATTCGGTTCAGTATGTTTGTTTTACTTGTACATTGTTCCACATATAATGCATAAAAACAAAAACCAAAATGAACAACTTCATGTAATTTTTTGAGGACCCCAAGCTATAGCTCACAGACCCCTGGGGGTCCTGGGACCCCAGTTTGAGATTCTCTGCTCTTATTGACCTATTTCTATGKAACCCAATTTGTTACTAAATGCTCCTACAGCTGTTTCTTATTTGTAGTACTGACTTTTACACACTTTTGATGCCCCTGTCCCAACATTTTTTTAAGAAGTGTTACTGCCATCTAGGGTTGGGCAATATAATATAATAATATTGGCAAAAAAAATGATCACGATAAATTATGGTATTTAGTAGGGGTGCAACGATACAGAAAATTCACGATTAATTTACTCTCACAGTTCGGTATTTTTTGATAAAAAAGAGGAATTTCCATGCACTTTTTAACTAGAATTTTTTTTTTACCTAATTATAAACATTTGTTTAAAAGTACAGTTTTTAAATTACTGTAAATGTTGCTGAAACGGCAAGTATCTCAGCGGATCTGTGCTCGACAATGCAGCCTAGGTGGAGTAGTCGAACACAGATCCACTGAGCCTTCAACAGAACAGAGCTTCAGAAGACAAGTAGATAAAATAAATTTTAAAAATCCGTATTGTTCCATACATAATGTGTATTGAACGGTTCGATACAGATACATATGTTGTTCTACCCCTAGTTTTTAGCTAATTAATCTCCTGCATGCACTTTGTCACGTGACTAGAGCTGCCACAAACGATTACGCCACAATGTAGCTGCTATTATATAACCATGGTTAGATTTTAGCTATATGCTAACTAAAAATAATTGCTGTGGAAGGCAAGTTCTGCCTTACAGATATTACATTGCTCAGGTTTCTGTTTCATTTTCTTAAAATGATCCCACACTTTTGAGCTCCGTCGCCGAGTAGCCATGATACCAGAGCCTGTCTGTATAATGTCTTGTGACGTCCACGGCCTACCACAGTTACCACTACTGTGCATGTGTGACAAGGACAGAAAGGCAGATGTGGCAGTGGAAGGTGTCAAAGCAGTTTGGAGAGAAAAACAAAGTAAAGAACAAAAAAAAGAAACGATTAATCGATTATTAAATTAGTCGTCGATTATTTTAATAATCGATTAGTCGTCGAATAATCGTGGCAGCCCTACACGTGACCAATTTAAATCACTCTAGTGGGAAAGATTTTTTTCTCCTGTTTCAAATTGTGTCAAAAGTACAGCCTTCAGGTTATACATCTAATTTTAAATAGTGTTGATAGACTAAGTAAAACCGGAGGTATGATAAATAAAATACAGACTTTTTAAAAAAAAATGTTTGTTTTAGAAGCAGAGAGGAGCATGGAGAGGACTGACCAGGGAAATTTCCAGTCGGTCTGCCTGGCCGCATTAATCTTATTAGTCAATCATCAAGTGCTAAAAAATAATCGATTTAAAGTTTTGCTGATGATTTATTGCACACGATATGATTTTGCCCAACCCTTCTACCATCTAGTTCAAAATTACCTAATTTTTTAATGGGATTGTTTATCTGTTTAAAATTATTTTTTATGATACACCATTGTGAATAAAAAAACAGGTTTATGAGATTTGTAAATTCTGTTTTTATTTACATTTTAAAGAACATTTTTGAAAAGGCGGTTGTCAAGTGTACAGAATTTTTTCCCTACTGTGTATTTCAGATATTACAGTATTTTTCATTTTGAAGTGACTMAGTCAGGTTTTGTTTTATTCATTTCCGTCTTATTTCTGTTTGTGTGAGAAAAGCGACCTTGACAGCCTGAATGGCTTTATTCTCTGCTTTCGGCATGCCCGTGTCCGAGAAGGTTGCAGCAGATTGTTTGCAGAAGATTGCTGCGATATCGGAAGGTGGCAGGCGTCCCATTTATTCCTCAATCTCTCTCTCTCTAGCTCCTATCGCGGCCGTCAGACCCACAAGCTGGGGGAGCACAAAGCCTTCGAAAAGCTTTTTAAAAGCTGAGTGAAACACTTAAATGTGTGTTTGGGTGTGAAAAGGTCACTTTGTGTTGAGCTTTTGTGCCACGCTGTTCTGAAATGTGTCTCCGACAACTTTTTTTTTTTTTTAAATTTGGCTAGGTGAGTTAAATTGTTCCAACACTTTAATTCTCAGTTGTTGATTTTTGTTACATTTCCCTCACAAGTTTTTGTCTAAATAAAAAAATTCTTCTGGTATGTACAGTATTTGCAGTTGTTTGGTTTTTAAAAGCATAAACAAGACAAAACAAGTCTAATAAATTAGAGTATAAAACTTTATCAGAAGCTCATAAAAGCTCCTTGATATATAATTTACCTTTTTTTTTTCACGCCAGCGTCAGAAAAACTTTTTGTTGACTTTGAATGAAAGATGTGGTCTTCATCTGCTCTTACGCCCATCTTGCTAATTTATCGATTTCTGCTCTCTGAGAGCAGCAGATCATTCAGCAACATGTGAAAGCTCACAAGTATGGCAGGCGGTTTTTACATTTAATAGGCTTGCATTTCACATATCTAAAATTAGTTTATGGCTAGACATAGTAAATKTAAGTAACAGATATTTAAAGGGATCCCCGATTAGTTGTAACATTAGACTTCATTTGATAGTTATTTTAACTGTAAAATAAAGACTGTAAAATACTGTAGGCTGGTTAGTTTTTTAATTTTTAAAAATATTTTTAACATGGACGGAGCCATTTTATTTACACACAAAGCATTCTAGGTAAATGATGACGTGGATAGGTCCTCGGTGTGAGCGAGCTATATCCACCCTGAAGGTTAATTTTGGACAATATCTGACAATTGTCTCTTTTAAA